AAATGTAATAAGGAATGTAGCGTAACTAATGCCCTCTATGAAATTTCCAAAAAATAATTAGACTAGCTTATTTGGTGTCCTTAAAAACCACGGAATACCAAATTTCATAAATATATTTCGCACCGTTTGGAAATTTTCGTAAAAATTCTATTGAAAAAATTTTATTTTGTCACTCTGTATCTCGAAAACAAGAGGAGATAGACATATAGTTCATAGGATAAAAAATTCTTTTTTTTTGTCATACTATCACACCCTGAGGGAGGTCTTTCTGAAACACTGTATATACGAATAATGTTTCTGAACTCAAATTTTACCAGTTTCGAATCATATAATCTTCAGAATTCCCATATACAATCTTGAGAAAAATGTTTGTTAATATCTCCTGGAATTAAAAATTTTACTAATGTTTCGACTTTTAAAATCTAAGAGCATAGTTAAGTTATTGTGGCTGATCCATACGAAATTATCGTTCCTGAGACAAAAATTTTTACTAATTTAAACTCTTCAGAATTAGCTTATACAACTACTAAAAGAGAGCTCTGTATCCGATGCATATGAATTATCATTTTTCAAACTAAAATTTTTTGCTGATGTTTCGAATCGTAAAATTTTCAAAATTTGCATGTACAATTCTAAGAAAAAGCTGTTGTTATATATTTCTGGATTAAAAATTTTACCAATGTTTAGATTTTTTAAATCTCTAGACCAGCACACTTTTCTCCCCACTGTTAAACATCGTATGCGATACATAGGTACAAATTATCGTTTCTGCGACTTTTATCTCTTAAAATATGCAATATTAGAGTTCCGCTTGCGCGAAAACAGCGGTTGCTGGTCTCGGCACTTCCCGCGAGCAAACATTAATTCCGTAATGCCTGTCATTACGCAACGGCACCCGTCCCGCGGCCTAAAGAGTACAACAAAAATCGCGCACGCCGATAGTATATTTTATAAGAACACGCGTGCACCTGCCGCCGCTCAGTTTTGTTTCTTTTCTTCGAACCCCCATGCCACCAGCTACTGTCCGGAGATGTGGGGCAGGTGAAATGTCGGTTCGTAAAAAATTATCTCCATCTCCCGAGGCCTGAAAGGGTGCCCAGAGACAGGTGAAATCGGAGGCCAGCGGCACCAAAAAGCTTACGTAATACGAATTCGAGTCACTTCTAATTATTGTCCCATTGCTTTGGGTTTCATTTAAACGCGCTGTGACAGTGATTTTCGTGAGTTAGGTAATACCCAGAAACGGTAAAAGTCCGGAAAAAGCTCCTCGAAGACAAAGCGGAACGTTCTTAAATTCACAACTTGTGGAGCGCATATTATTATTTTCCTTTTTGACACGCCACGTCTGGTTTTTTGTTTTCGAACAACTAATCGATTAGAAATTTTAATGTAACTGTATTTGCGTACTTATAAAGTCACAGTTCTGTGTCTTCACCATTGCGGTCAAATTCTTGTTATTATGATGAGAGTAAAAATATTATCGACAACTCAATAATCTCAAATCAAAATGCCAGGAACTGTTAATCACAAGTGGGTAAAAATGTAATATAACAGGATCTAAATCGTTCCTAAATCAAATTTTATACCAAGTATGAATGCTACGGTTAATATCCGTTCTGACTGATATTGAATTATTTGACCGTTTCAAGAATATTTTTTTGCTCATTTTGGTCAATATTTATTTATTTATTTATTTATTTATTTAAAGTACAATGTCCAACGGGACAGATCCCAGTTACAGGACAAGGTCGTACACACAATTTAAAATATACATTTAATATAAACAAACACAACAGGCAGTAATTAGAGTAGGAACAAAAATCCAATAAATAAACCAACCAATAACAAAACATGACAGGAAATATACTAAATAAACATTAAAATAGATAAATGCAAAAATACAGATCAAATTAAGCAAATAATTTCTTAATAAAATCAATTGAATGAAAAAATATATCAAGTCGATCTTCATACATTTGGTAATTAGTGATCATTTGATGGAGAGGGGATGCTGCAAGAATATTAGTACGAGCAGTTGGCAACTGCAATACGGAACTCGATCTAGAGTTTAATCTAGGAACGCGATATAAAATTTGAGACACCAGAGAAGGCGCATTCAGGGAATTGTTGACGATATTGTGCAGAAAGATCAGAGAGTGCATAATGCGCCTCCGCTGCAAACTAATTAAGTCGAAAGTGGACAACAAAATATCCTCTGGAATGCCACGAACCGGATAGATACCAAAACTGATAAAATGCAAAGTCTTCACGTATCTCCGCTGTACTTTCTCCAACTGAGTTATATGGATGTTATAAATTGGGCTCCACACAATAGAGGCATACTCAAGCTTGCAGCGAACAAAACAATTGAACAGTGTATTCAATGTACGCGTGTTGCGAAAATCCTTAGAATTACGCAAGATAAAACCCAGGTTTTTAAATGCAGATTCAGTTATTGCTTGAATATGCGCGTCAAATGATAGATTACCACAAAATGTCACGCCAAGGTCATTGAATTGCGAGACTCTATTTAAAATAGTATTATCTAGAAGGTAATCAAAATGTAGAACATTTTTCCGGCGGCTATAGGACATAGTATTACATTTACTGATGTTTAAAGGTAAATGATTGTCCTGACACCAACGGTGTAATTTAGTTAAGTTATCCTGTAATCTATAACAATCAGATATTGACATAATCTCAATAAACAATTTAAGGTCATCCGCATACATTAGATAATTAATGTCAAATAGTTCAGTTAAGTCATTCATGAATATAATAAAAAATAAGGGCCCCAGTATGGACCCCTGAGGAACGCCTGACAATTGCGGAAACTTATCTGATTGGAAGCCTCGATATTGAACAAATTGAAAACGGTTGGCAAAGTAGGAGCGAAACACATTTAAGAGATCATCAGATACACCCACTGAATGTAATTTATAAATCAGCAAATCATGGTTAAGGCGATCAAATGCCTTCGAAAAATCAGTATATATCACGTCCACCTGACCACCCCTATCCAGCACCTCGGAAATATATTGTACCTTGTTGGCTAAGTTTGTCGTCGTTGATCGTCCCTTAACAAAACCATGCTGAAATTGAGATATATATTTTTCCACATGAGAGTACAAGTGATTGTGAATGACTAATTCGAAAATTTTTGAAAAATTACTTATAATTGCAATGGGCCTGTAATTCATTATATTATTTTTGTGACCTTTTTTATAGATGGGACATATTCTAGAAAGTTTCCATAATTCTGGAAATACACCAGACTTGAGAATGGTATTAAAAATTATTTTCAACGGTTTAGCAAAAATTATTCCACAATCTTTTACCAAGAAGGCAGGTACTAAATCAGGGCCCATAGTAGAGTTACCTTTAATTTTTTTGATGGCACGTATAATATCATCTTCAGATATTTCAGGAATGCGTAGTACCTAAGTCATGATTTACAATATTATCACAGTTGGACAATATCCAATAAAGTAAATATAATTATTAACGAAATATATTTTTATGATACATATTGCTATTTATACAGTTTTCAAAATGTATTCGTGTTTGTTTCAATTTAATTCTAACATAGAATTCATAGGGAAAAAGAAGTCTTATTCTTCGTGAACACTGTGTTCAATGCATAGTGAATTATCGCTTTAGAATCTTGGTTTTCACTAATGTTTCACAACCTAGCATATATTCCTCAAGAAACAGCATTATTATTTTGTTTATATTATACAGGGTGATTCACAAATGGTGACCAAAAACGGAACCTCGTATTCTTTGGTGAATTTTAACGCTTCGTTAATAAGATACAGTGTTACACTTCAAAAAATATTTTTAATTTTATTAAATAATTTAAAAACTAGTAAGGGAAATAATTTGAAACTGGGCACAAGTATTTATGTAAACATTGTCCAAAATCTGAGGGCTTCTCCTAAAATTTACATGCTCCAGTGGCGTAGGTATCGGTGGCATATTTTTCTAAATAAAATAGTACGCTACTGCTTTACGGTAACAACCATGATATTTTCGGATTCGTGTTTCAATTTTCTATAAATTAGAAAAAGCCCTCAGATTTTGGACAATGTTTACATAAATACATGTACCCAATTTCAAATTATTTCATTTTTGGTCACTATTTGTGAATCACCCTGTAGGTATATAAGTACATTTATGTTTCTTCTAATAATTTTTCAATTTATTTTAAAATTTCAGCCAAAACATTTGCTAGTCCTAAGAAAACGATACATTGACATTTTTACTAATGTTTTGAACTGTAAAATCTTCAGAATTAGCATATACCTAACTCTTAAGAAAGAATACTGCCAACTTTATATCTACTAATTTTTTATTAACAAAGAATATAACGTAATGTTATATTTTGAATTATCGGAAGTCCCATATATGAACATTTTGGGGACCTCCAGTGCACGCACGCATCTCATGCGAGCCTACCTGTTCACGCAGCGCTTTTTTCGGGCAGGTGCAGATTTTTAAGGGTTTATCGGACTTCGGTTTGATTCTTTTACTATTTGGAATCCGACGGGACATTAATTAGGGCAGGTGGCTCGTATGTTAAGATTTTTTGTGCCCCAGAGACGCGCCCGTCCACAGTTCGATAGTCCGGATTTTTTATGATTCCTCGGTCCATTGACTCCGGCTTACGAATAGCTTACGTCTTAAAAAAAGTGTTGATGGAAGCAGATGAATGAGAAGTCTAGTAATTATTTTTTTGTAAATCGATCTGGGTCCGGCTAGTAGAGTAGCTCAATCGGACTAAGACGTCCTTAATTGGTTTTACTCGTATAACTATAGTTGATGGATGGGACGAGCAGATCAATTTGTAGTTAAAGGGAACCGACCTTTTACTTTTGTTGATATATTATCAATGTTTACTGTAATTGACATATCTAGGTTTGTGTAAGAAAAAATTAATCAAAAATGTAGTACAGAGCACGAACGTCTACATAAATTTGCAAGGATATCAAGAAACCTACCTTCCAACTAGCATCGTATACAGGATGACACCCAGAGACCACATATCCGCTGCTTTTCCGGAATAATGTGCCCCGGCCTTTAGGATTTCCGGGCTGACATAGGCAGGACAACCCCTCTTGTCGTGAAGCCAATCACTATCCGGTTCCTCTAAAACCACGGCATCCTCTAAGGACTCTAACTTCAGTTCCGTTCTGAAACCAAAAGGAAGGAAACGTAAATATGCATTCGAAACTATATAAAAAAATACATGAAAATGCATGCAACAAAACAATTGTAAAGTTACTGTTCCTATTAACAATAATAGCAGAGAAATAAGCAAAAAGGATTATAAATCAATTGGAAAAGCTTATCCGCATCTAATCATTGGGTTATTTCTAACACAGGTGCTTGTCCCAGCGCTATTTTCTCAATGTACGCCACTGCAGTTACCAAATATGAGCATCGAGGTCAGGGAATCTTGCTAAATGACATATGAACCAATAATTTAATTGATTTCTTCAGCTATGTAAATTTAATAAATATTTTCACTTATAATCTCCCTAGTGCTTGAATTATTTCCGGAAATTTTTTCGAAGGAACGCATTTTTTGAAAATTTTCCCGAGCCGCAGACGAGGGAAAATTTTCTAGAAAAATGCGTGATTGAGGAAAAATTTCCGGACATTAATTCAAGGACGTGGGGGATTCGGTAAGAAAATTTTACAACCAAAATTAATTTAAAAAATTTGACATGTTTCATTTTGAAACTTATTTCGCCAAAATAAAGTTGGCTTGACAGGTAGACATTGTTTTACCTTTGCAATACAATTCACTTAGTATTACTAAAATAGAAGGAAAGTAAGTATTTGTAGAAATGCGATGTCTATGACAGTTTATTAATGATCCTTAATAAACACAAAAAACAGCACATTACATTCACTAGTAATAAAAAAGGCATTTAATTGTTGAATTCAGATACTTATGTTTGCAGTATAATTCACTTAGTATTACTAAAATAGAAGGAAAGTAAGTTTTTGTGGAAAACCGATGTCTATGGCAATATATCAATGATTCTTAAAAAATCATAACTGCAATCAAGTAGGCTTAGGCTTGTGATGTCAAAATCGTCTTCGTTATACGTCACGTTGTCAGTCATTTTCTCTAGCTTCTAATTGTTTACAATTAAATCATGGCAGTGAACAACCAAAAAACTAATTTAAATCCATACAGTCTATGTAATTCTTGCACCAAAATAGGGGACATTCTTATGTCTCGTAAAAATTTAAAGTATTTGCCATATTTACTGAAAAAAAACTGTAAGTCCGCATCAAGAAAACCCTATTCGCAGCTATTCAAAAAATTTTGGAGGAAGATATCCCATCTTTTTTACGTAAAACCATGGCTCAGCAGAACAAAATTTCATCAAATTATTACATATATTTTATGAAACATAGACATCTGATGGAAATGAAAAATAAAGGTAATAATTATGCTCCTCGTTACTCTCCGTTGCGAAGAGAAGAGTTCCAGCCAAAATTTCAGAAACATTTAGCGTTAATAGAAGAAATGTCGGAACAAATATTTGGTAAATAATTATTTGTATCTATTTATTATTTTAAAATAAATAAAATCATTACAAAGCAAAATTCTGGATAGGGACTGATTTTTGAACCATACGATAGCTGACAAAAAAAAATCCACTTATTAATTTTGTTTGCCAAGCTTGGCAGGAGGAAAAAAATTTCCGAAAAATTTGAAGGTTGCCATGGGCAACTGTCGAAATTACAGTATGTATTTGGCTTAAAATGACAGGTGTAAAATTTTCAGTCAAAGTAACTTTTACAGTTAAGGACATAATTAATATCTTCAACAGAAAAAAATCGTTCATTATCTGAACCTTCGTAGCTGTAATCAAAAACAGCATTTTAAGTCGTTCTTGCAATTATCTTTTCCAGCCTTTGAGCAAAAAAACGGACGGTGAATTTCGTATATGAATTATCCCATGAAGTTCAACAGTCATTAAAAAAACATTAATACGCTTTTCCTCTTTCCTGCACACTACGATAATTATTACGGGGCATCTTCATTACGGTCTTTCTGTATGAGGATATGATGCAGTCGGATATGGTTTAATTCAGAAACACAAAACGCGCGACAATTTTGTGTTGATAATTCTTGACCTGTAATATTTATTTGGATATTTCTTGTATTTTCGAAATGAGCTATATCTGGCGTTGCCACAATTTCCGAAACCGTGTATCTGAGTTAACGAGGTGCAGTTGCCAGATCTTGCCCAACGTTATTAGTGAAACAGTGACGTGAACGTTTCAACACCGTGTTGCGGCATCACCCTTAAGTACAGATCCAGTGTTGTGCAGACGAACTGAATCGGCAGTTATTGCAATCTGACAGGCTTAATTATTTATCTTCTGATATTTTGTGGTGTTCATATTTTGCGAAACAGCACGCCTAAACGGGCCTGTCTTGCGTTAGACTCTTGAATATTAACAAAATGGACTCGTAATTCTAAATGGGTACGTTTTGAAACCTGTATGTTTTCGTTTTGTAATTTATTTACAATGTTACCACACGGTTTATTAACTAACATAAATTTATTAATTATAAACCGACTGATTTTACAACGTTATTTAGATAATGCGCACGTTTAGGTAATTCGGTTTCTATATACAGGGCGGTCAGATAACGCGTGACCCAGGGGCCGCTGCCCGATGCGCTATTTGCAACTTTACAAACATATTACGCCGTGCTTGGGCAAGTAGAGCAACTTGTTTGAACGCCGAGCGGTGGACCTGTATCGTGCGTGTGCAAAAAATTGTTACGTAAACAAAACGCGGACAACAAGCTTGTTTATTTCTTAATTTGGTGTTTTTTTGCTTGACTTCTGAAGACGTAACTAGCTTTAAGGACGATGTCCCGTTAGGCTAGAAGAATTTATAGATAACAGCCGGAGATTCGGACGAGAACCTGTCTTTTTTAAGGTCAAGATGTAGCGTAAATAAAAAAAGATGGTTTATACAGGTAAAAGATTTATAACTTTTTCTATGGCGTAGGGGAAATACATCAAAAACTGTCATTTCGAAAATGGCATTATAGTCCAGACGGTACCTGTTTCAAAAAGGCCATATTTTTTGCTTTTTAGCTTTCAAATATCTCTAGAAATGAAAATTTTTCTATGCGCATAAAAAAACGAGGGCCTTTTGGCGGTACAATATGTCAAAAATAATTCGAAAAATGTCGTATTTTTCTTCCTATTTAATAATGTATCTTTTCAGGAGTTGAAATAAAAGAGGAAAAAAATGTTTGTAATTAAATTTTTTCGCCGCTCTCTCTCTCTGCTTCCCCCACGACCACCACCCGTACGATTTTCTTGAATTTCTCGCTTGCATAAATAACTTTAAACACGTTTTAAAGTAGGTTGCCAATTAAAAAAAGTATTGCAAACTTAGACCTGGTAAGTACTCGGAATACCAAAGGTATTTTTAGAAGAATTAGCCCGGATGTCCCAGTACATTTTGTGTAAATGACGGTTAACTTTGGTCGGCTATAACCACGTTATTAATTGACCAATCGATCTGTTTTTTTTTAAGAAGCGTCTTTCCAATAACTTTTAAAACCTGCTTTAAAAAATTTGATTTGATTGAATATTCAAAGTTATTCTAATTCTTGTTTATAAGTACAAAAATTCGACCTATGTTTAAACATGCGCCAAAGGGGCCTCATTGACGGATTCAAATTGTTCAAAAAGCGTTTGAAAACTTGAGAGCCCTTCTATATGTGATTATATTTTCAAGTATCTAAGCACCTTGGTTTTTGCTGTGCAAAATTATGAAAATTTGCAATTTTTTTTTCAAAATCTGGATTGCAAAATTATTATGCAATATCTATCGTACCGGTTTTGATTAAATTTGGTGTGATGATTCTGCATAACATGAAGTTTTCTTGAGCCAACTATGAAGGTCCTATACCCAATTTAAAGAGCCCAAAAAAATTCCCCAAAAAGTAATGTTTTTTAACCCCAATTTTGGCGATTTTTTCGATTTTTACAGTAATAATCATGATTCATTCGATTTGTAACTAGTCATATTTTGTAAAAAAATTAATTATAAAATTTTTTTTCCTCTTCCATTTTCGCCTAAAAACAACTCTTGAAAAGATACATAATTAATTAGAAAGGAAAATATGACATTTTTCGAATTTTTTTAACATGCTGCCAAAAATTAAGCCCACGTTGTTTTCTATCCGCATAGAAAAATTTTAATTTTTAGTGATATTTGAAAGCCAAAAAGCCAAAAGTCTTCGTGGATATACGATTCACCCAAACCAAAACAGATACCGCCTAGTCTATTATTTATTTTAAGCCATTAGTATTTTTTTTGTATTATTTGAGTTTTTATGCGCTATAGGTGAATTAAAGGCATAGTTTTATAAATATTTTGGTAATTTCAGGGAAAAGGTTTTTGGAAATTTAAAGGGTTAAACCCAAGAATTAACATTATCGACAATTGGATGTTTGCCACTCTTTTAAAGAAATTTCCATAAAATAAATAATACAACTATTATAACTATTACGTGGACTTAGGCTTGCCAGATCTCCGGGTTTGACCCGGGGTCTTCGGGTTTTGATGGTACATCTTCGGGCTCCGGGTTAACGCCCTACCCTTGAAATCCATATCCCCGGGTCACATATTTCCTGAATTTTTTTTTTACATCGATTTGTCCGATTGCAGAACCTTTTTTTTTAGAGATCGATTTCTTCGTAAACAATTTGACTCCCAGATTTTCTAAAGACCTTTTTTTTTAGGCATCAGTTTCTCCGGGTCTGTCATGAAATAGATCTGGTAACCCTACGTGGACTACATGCTCCAACAATATTAAGTAAATGTTTCAGGAAAAATATTTATTATCTTAATACATTTATAATAATATAGTAAAACTTTATGTCGTCAATTTTTTCTGAACCTATTTGGACAGTTTTTCTTATAATGGCAATTCAGGACTGGAATTCGACTAATAAAGGCATTGAAAAAGTCGGTACACCTGACGACAAGTGATGTAGGTAATAAATTAGGAGGAACAATGGCGCAGATTAAGTTCAGAGAAGAACGGTCTTTGTTTTATCAAAATTTCCATGTCGTATCATTGTGCGAAATCGCTTTATTGCGCAAATACCGCGTTGATAACGCGTTTAGCGTA